ACAATGAGGTATCACTTCACAGCTGTCAGAATGTCTACCAACAACAAACCAACAAATGACAAGTGCTGGCAAGGATATGGAAAAAAGGGAACCCTAGTACACTGCTGGTGGAAATGCAGACTGGTTCAGGCACGTGAAAAACAGTATGGAATTTCCTCAAAAAATTAAATATGGAACTGCCATTTACCCAGTGATCCCATTTCTAGGAATATATCCTAAGAAATCTGAAACACCAATCAGAAAGAATGTATGCACCCCTATGTTCATAGCAGCACAATTTACAATAGCTAAGATATGGAAACAGCCTAAGTACCCATCAGTAGATGAATGGATAAAAAAGCTGTGGTACATTTATACCATGGAATACTATGCAGCAGTAAAATAAAATAAAAAAGGATCTCTTACCCTCTGAGACAGCATGGAGGGTCTTGGAAAGTATTATGCTAAGTGAAATAAGCCAGTCAGAGAAAGACAAGTATCACATGATTTCATTCATATGTGGAATCTAATTAGCAAAATGAACTAATGAATGGAGTAGATCCAGAGAGATGGAAGCATGGAACAGAGTGCAGAATCTCAGAGGGAAGGTGGGGAAGGGTGGGTGGATAGAAAAAGATCAACCCAAGAACTTGTATGCATATATGCATAACCCATGGACACAGACAATAGGGTGTGGAAGGCCTGCGGCAGGGGGACAGGAGCTTAGAAGGGGTCTATTGGGGAACAAAGGAAACATATGTAATACTTTTAAAAATAAAGATTAAATTTTTTTAAAGACCCAAATGCAACAGTGTGGCCCATATAACTAACACAAGGGACATTCCAAGAGCACCCAGATCAGAAGATCAAGGAGACTACTACACTGTGTCTGACAAGAAGGCCTAACCTGATACTCCTTATGCTGTTTGCCAAACTTTACCTTTGATCTGCCTATATGCATTGCCAAGACAGGGTGGTACAGCAGTCTTATCTAATAAAAAAAAACACACACACACACAATAAGTAGGGAAACAAAGTCACTGGCCACAAATGAAAGAAGAGGAGGAATCTCCAGAAAAAGGGCTAAATGAAATGGAGGCAAGCAATTTATCAGATATAGAGTTCAAACAACTTAGTGAGAACTACAAGGAACTTAATGAGAACTACAGGAACTTAGTGGGAACAACATCAGCATGAAAAACAACATAAAAACTATGAATAGGAAAAAGTCAGAAATGAGGAATGACATAGCTGAAATAATGAATAGCCTGGAAGGAATTAACAGTAGGTTAGAAGAACCTGAGGATCAAATTAGTGAATTAGAAATCAAGGTAGAAAAAAAATCACTCAATTAGAGCAGCAAAAAGAAAAAATACTTAAAAAGCAAGAGGACAGTTTAAGGGAGCCGAGGGACAACACAAAATGCAGCAAAATTCACAACATAGGGGTACCAGGGCAAGAAGAAAGAGAGAAAGGGCTAGAGAACCTGTTTGATAAAATACTGACAGAAAATTTCCCTAACCTGGAAGAGGAAAAAGTCCCATAAGGTCAGGAAGCACAATGAGACCAATAAAAATGAACATGCTATCTACAAGAAACTCATCTCAGAACAAAAGAAACACACCAATAATGAACTATCAGGAAGAGGAACTAAGAAAACAAGCCCATCTACTATTGTAACAACCACAAAAAAATAGGGTACTCAGGAGATAAAAGACCTATACTCAGATATTTCACCAAGGAGATAAAAGACCTGTACTCAGAAAACTATAGAACATTGAAGAAAGAAATTAAGCAAGATACAAATAAGTGGATGCACATACCATGTTCATGAATTGGAAAAATTAAAATGTCCATACTACCCAAAGCAATATATAAGTCCAACTCAATTCCTATTAAAATATCAATGGCATATTTCAAGATAAAAAAAATATTCCAAAATTTATATGGAACCAAAAGACACTGAATAGCTGAAGTCATCTTGAGAAAGAAGAAAAAAGAGGGAGAAACCAAGATGGCGGCATAGGTTAATGCCAGAGATTGCTGCCTTGAACAACCAATTCAAATTACACCTAAAAGACAGAACGGACATCATCCAGAACCACAGGGAGGCTGGCTGAGTGGAAATTCTACAACTAGGAGGAAAGAGAATATCATACCCAGAGAAATAGGAGGCGCAGTGCTGAAGAGAATATCATACCCAGACTCAGAGGAGGCGCAGTGCTGACGTGAAATACTCAGGTGCGGAGTGCGCATGGAGCAGGCTGACGGCGGAGGGTGCGGTTGGTGTTTTCAATCGGGGGGGGGGTTCAGGCTCTGAGCTCCAGC